TCGATCTTTACTGTAGAGCAATAAACTATAGGCAGCTAGCAAATTATAACTTGCATCAGAAGCTGACAGAACTAACAAACTTGTTCAAGATTTACATTACATTGGAACGGAAAACGGATTTACATTGTAAGCAACCATACAAAATGCCAGAGAATGTTACATATTCTAGATGTAGCTTAAGTAGTCAAATGCACCATCAAGTCCACAAATCACTTACACCAGCCATGGGCACAATGTCTGCAGGTTCTCCATCCTTGAAGTGAAAGATACCACCTTTGAAATCTGCATCATAGCTGTTTAAATAACACACTGCCTTCAACAAAAGAATTAAACATTTTCAGTCGGAGTAAATGAATAAGGACCTCAAAAGTTCTGACGTAGCCATGATATAACAGTGACTCTAGCACCTCTCATTACTTTAGTGTTCTGCAAATATCAGATATCCTAACATCCACTAACAGACCAATATCCATAATGAACCCATTTGATCAATCGTCTCTGTTACCACATTTTGACCTTATGTATCACTACAAGGCAGAAGTTATATTCATTCAGCACACTAGACCATAAGAAGCTATAATCCAGATGGCAATAGCTTTTTTTTCCTCATTTTCAAAAAAAAATATTGACATAATATGCCACTTGATATCACGCAAACATGACATGTTGGATATGAGAGAAAACGGTCAACCTCTGACCAACCTTCTTAACAGCACTCATGCCACCACCAGACCGTAACTAAATTCACCTATAGTCTTCTTTTATAATCCAACTCTGATGACTAATAGCATGGCCAAGCTTCTGAAAGCCAACAGTGCCTTTTTAAAAATAAAAAAGGAGTGCTTGTTTTAGAGAGTTGAGGTGTTCATCCAAGCTTTTAGAGGAAAAAAGTGTTTTTGAATAGTAGCATAAGCTGTTTTTCAGAAGCTGGAAGTATATTTTCCCAAAATGAACTTTTAGAACCTTGACCAGGCACAAATTGTTGCTCTAATATTGTAAAAGTGCTTTTCAAATTGATTAGACAAACACAATCTGCTACTCTCCAAAGTACTTTTTTCGAAAAACAATTCTGGCAAAAAGCACTTCACAAAATAAGCAGATTTCGAAAGCTTGGCCAAACACAGGCTAAAATCCAACTTGATATATCTGCAATAGAACTTCTGTAGTTCCGCTACCTCAACTTCTCTATTTCTAGATCATCTTTGACTTTGTATATAAGATGCTTTGATCTCACTTGCACTAATTTTACAAAGATGGGAAAAGAGAGCGAAGTATTGTTCATACAGGTGGGAAGATGTCAAGATAGAAAAAAGAGAAAAACGGAAGGAACTCTCAAGGAACCAAATGAAAGAGAAAAGAAAAAGGAGGAGAAATAAAAAAGGATACACTTCATAAAGGAGAATAAACAAACGAGAACATACTTCATAAGAAATAATAAATACATATATACAATATGCCAAAAGTGCAATAAAAATAAATTGGAACTCATCACACTCCGAGATGATCACTTAACACCTTCACATTCTTATCTATTTCTCTCCAAATAACTCCAAAAAGGGCAAGGTGGAAGACAATCATCCTTAACCCCTACCTAGCCCAAGTATCTACCACTATTTATTTTAGCAACCATGCACTATCAAACAAAAGCTCAAAGGTCCAACAAAGGTTGCAACATAGAAAATAAGAGACACATCTAAACCAATGTTTTGCCCATAAAACACAAACTTACAACAATCTGTTATCTACTCATAAGATTATTGCTACTAGGATAGCATTCTAGGTTGCATACCAAGTAAAGAAAACTAATATATTTGGTGCACACATTTTCAAGACATGCTTCCATAAGCATTATGTAGCACATCCATTTAAAAGAACTAACGAGAAATGCTTCATGTTTGACATTTTCCTAAGCATCGAATCATCTTATTAACAAAGTAAGAGCAGATGGAAATTTTCTGGAAATACTTTATCAGTTCATCCCATTCCTAATCTTGAAGAAGTATAGCAAAAACATACACTCTAGGACATCTCAGAATTGTTCATCATAAAAAGATTAGCCACCATGATTTCAGTGATTTCAGAATGCATACATCAGATGTTACAAATCTCTAAATGCTGAATTCTCAGACCAGACATCACAACATAATCGAATATTGGTTACTCTCAACTACAAAATAATGAGTGTACATCCACAAGTAAATAAGTACGACACTGACACATGGTGTCCCTACCTGTTATCCAACCTAAATCCACTTATGCAGCTACTCTTACAGGTCTGTCACTAGTTTACTATAAGATTCCCATGATGAAATAATACAGTAACGGGGAGAGATGATCCCCTTACCTAATCCCCCGCCCAAAAAGTCAGCTAGTGCTTCATTAATCATGAAAAACAAAAATAAACCTAAGTGAGAATTTAACTATATAACTCTATTGTCAACTGCAAGGCCTTTTGGTCTTCATCTCTAGGAAGATACTGGGCACGAGTCAGCTTTTGTTCTACAAACCAAATGTGAATAGTGTCTGTCAGCCTTTGTCTGTCCTGCATATTCACCAACCCGAGGAAGCGGAAGGGTGTATTTTCTACATTTATTGGCTAACAATTGAAAATCAATAAGCAAGTATCCATCAATAAGAATCATGTATAGCTGGCATGAAAATGTTGTTGGTTTTATCAACAAAAACGATTTTGAGAAACATGAATACTAATAAGTAATAACAGCTATCTGCAAGACGAAGCAATACATTGTTAATAACATAAACTACCAATATGTAGCAAATAACAACGACAGAAAAATACAACAAGAAGTAAAGAACGCACCGCAAAATCCCGTTGTTTAAGGTAAGGTCTATTATCATCACTGTGCCAACCGATGCTTGCTCCTCTACACCAGCTGTAATTCATACAGAACATTAGACAAATAGCTCCATAGCAGTCAAGATTTTTAATTCACTATGATCAAAAACAGGAAGGATAAAATCCTGAAGGGGAAACAATGTGATTGATACTACATTGGGGAAATATATCTTCTAATGTGACAAGAAACGTCTTAAGTTGTCAAAGAAATTCATGTTCTATACCAAACTGACCCAAAGTCTTTTTCCTACTTGGGCAGGTCATCTCTCTTTATTCTAATGGCTTTCTCGATTATCAACTCTAGAAATTGAAAAGGCACATACGACGATATCAGCTAGTCCTCATTTCAAAATAGCTGCAAAAGCCTGTATATGAATCCAATATATTTGTTCCCCTCCATCCAAGTCCATTCAGTAGTTAGAAGTAGATAAAGCTTACAGCCTACACTAATCCTCCTCCTCTATCTATTCTTGAGACCAGAGGCGGAGCCACGATTTTTAGATTATGGGTTATGAATCATAATTTATTTTGCTCACCGAATTCCGGACAGATTATTTGTACATATTAAATGACTTTTTCAATACAATACAGAGTTTGAGCCTAGCTACTCGATGCTGCCAAACCCGTAACCACAATGTTGTCTCTGCAAAGGCTTGAGATGGACTATGCTTTACCAAGCTAAATTAGGCAGAGTTTTGATGAAACTCTGCCTAATTTAGCTTGGTAAAAAGGATATGATCATAAATAAGTTTAGAAGGGAAAGAAATGGAGTCTCAACCTGATTAGACCAGTGAATTCGACAAACAACTCGTACTGGCAACCAAAATACTCTTCTGCTTTCTCCCTTAGCTTCTCTACCACACACCCATAAAGCAAAAATCAAAGATTAAGTAAAAATTAACAAAAATATCAACTTTATACTGAAATTACCTGGTAAACAGAAACTACAACATACCCAATGTAATCCCACAAGTGAGGTCTAAGGAGATTAGAGTATACGCATACCTTACCCCCTACCTTTGTGGGGCCAGTAAAAGGTTGATTTCTCAAATAGTCACTCAACTAATACTCTCTCCGTTTCAATTTATTTGTCCTACTTTTCTTTTTATCCGTTTAAAAGATATGCTTCTTTTTTTGGCAAATCTTTAATAACTTGCATGTTTAAAACCACAAAACTAAAAGGTATTTTGATACATTAGATATATCTTTCATTTAAGACTACAAAGATTCAAACTTTACTCTATTAAACTCCATGTCAACTCAAAACATGACAAAGTAAATTAAAACTGATGGAGTAGTTACTATTTCGGAAAGTCACATTTATTCATGATTCCAAACAAAGAAAGATACTTTATAAGATATATAAACTTTTAGTCGAGCGACCACCTGAGGAATCAACTTCGCAATAAACAGATTAGATTTCAAGAATAAAAAAATTAGAGCAAAAAAATTAAAGAAACCTCTGATTGGAATGATGGGCATGATCAAGGGGGCACAATTAGTTGCAATAAGATGAGATAATGTTGTAGAGAACACATTTGGCCTGTACCCTACTGTACAACAACTCTTGTGTATAAACTCTAACTCCTGCCATTAACAAAAAAAAAACATTAAAACATCACATATAGTATGTAAAATTATCAAAAGAATGAATCTTTTTTTCATATTTTTACTTTTTTTAAATTGTAAATTTGGGAAATTGGACCTTGCAAAGATCAAGAGGAAGAAAGTTATGGAGAATTAGACGAGGGTGTTCACTATCTGCCATTATTGGAACTTCAACAACAGCTTATTTTAGGGCCACTTCTGAACTTCCCCAAAACTTGTATTTTTGTTTTTAGTATGCTATGACCAATGCCCCACTAGCTATTTGCATTGAAGGTCCGATTAAATTATACTATATATTTTGTTACAATAGTGTAAAATAATAAACTTTACTATATAATAGTATAATATTAATTAAATAAAAATAGGCAGACACGTCAACTGCTGCCTGCTAGAGGTGTCTAAATGGTGGAGTATTAAATTTGTAGAAAAAATACCTTAACTTAATTTTTGTTAAAAAAAGAAAAACACAACTGCAAAACCTGATTGGAACTGATCGGAGCAGGCTTTATATTCAATATCAGGTTTGTTTTATTTTATGATTGTAGTTTTACTTTTCACGTATTACTTTCTTTGTTCTAAACAAAAGATTTGATTTTTATCATATGGGTGTGATCTAAATTGGCTAAAATTGTATTGGGGGTTTCTGTAAAAGTTTATGGGATTAGTGTTATTGGTGGATTTTTAGACAATTTGGTGAAAAGATTAGATTTTTATCATCTGGGTGTGATTAAAGTACCTAAAATTGTGTTGGGGTTTATGTAAAGTTTATGGGATTAGAGTTATTGGTGGATTTTTTAGGTGAAAAGATTAGATTTTTATCATCTGGGTGGGATCAAATTACCTAAAATTGTATTGGGGTTTCTGTAAAAGTTTATGGGATTAAAGTTATTGGTGGATTTTAAGGTGATTTGTGTTTGTGAAAAGTGGAGAGCTTAAAAAGTGAAACAGCCATATAGTTGCACTAATCTTTTAGCACATAAAATAAATCACCATGAATTCATATGAATCAACAAAAACAATTTTATCAAGAATTCAAAGTTGGGATCCAGAAAATGCTTCAAAAATCGAAGGTTATTTACTTAAACAAGACCAAGGTGATAAGGAGATGATTTGTTTAGGACTTTTATCGAACTGTTCATCTGCACCTTCGACACCTCCTTTTAGTTCCATTTCAAATGCGAATAAATTCAACCCATTTCCATAATCTTCCCCTAGAATCATGATACCGAACAATGGGTTTCATTCTTCGCCTTCTTCTTCTCCATGGTCTGGTAGTCACTGCCGGTTTTTTCAAGAAGTCCTCGACCAGTGTCGTATGCTGCTGTTGTGAATGGTTCAGGGAATTTGCTGCTGGTTCTCAGCTTATGGCTTCTGGAGGTCGTCATCCATTTGCTTACAACAAATGATTGAATATTTTCAATGAGGACTAGACACTAAGATCTTATTCATTCCTTGTCAAATGTTTACAGCCGGCTTAATCTTTGGTTTACTCACTGGCGGTGTTGATTACTTCTATGCTTTTGGAGATGCCGAGCCTCCTGTCTCTTCGATATCTCTCCTTGTTTCAACTCTACTAGTTTTCACAGTTGGTTTAGGCGATCGATATCGCATTGTATATTCCATCAAAGCTGCTGTGTTCTTAAATATTGGATTGGGAATTTTCGATATTGGAAAAGGCAATGATATGCCAGCAAGAAAGTCAATGGATGAGAAAATGATTGTCCCATGTATTACTTTTTGGACTGTTGGGACCGACTCTTTATCTGTTCCATGGTACACTAATCTACTTCCCTTCCATGAGGATACACTATCAGCTATTCTAGTGTTCTCAACTTCTTTAAGAATCTGTTACATGGCCTTGCATTTGCACAAATCAATTGTTGTACTGAAGTCCGTTGAGGAGTTGGATCAACCATTTAAATGTAATCATCAACCAATTCTCTGGCTTGGAAAGCAAAAGGGAATATTTGTGTTGCATCTTAGTTACGGAAGTGTTATCACACTACTCCCTAATGGAATTGAGATAGAGAAGCATCTTTCACTTTACAAGAGTGATAGTTTTTATCGTTGCCATTGCTGTACTTGAACCTTGAGGACAAGGTTTGTATTCAGGAGGGAGGTATTGTTATGAACGGGCCAGGACCAGTATGGGCAAACCAGCTCAACACCAAATTAAGAGACTATGTTTGGGATTCAAGTTGATAAATACAACTTGTGGGAGTAAATTAGACTTATGCAGATTGTTGAGAAAAATGTCTAGTCCTCTCATCCCTTTCTTTGAGTCTAAGCTTTACATCTCCTTTCTAGTTATCTTCTTCAATAGTTTCTTTGTTTTACTAGTCCATTGTTGTTCTGCAATTTCCTTGTGAGTTCCATTTTCCCGTTGTAACTTTGAGTTTAGTGATTATAATATTTGAGTGTTTCTATTGTGAAATTGGAGTTGTTACAGAAAATATGTTGTTGATTATGCTTGCTTATCTGGTGGACGTTTAGAGATCTGATACGTTTCCTGTAACAATAAACAAATGGAGAGAAAGGGCGAGAAATAATTTAGGTGGTGAAAACCAATGGAATATTTGTGGTTGGAAAGATTCAAGCAACAAAACTAAAACACATCATCAGTTAGAAGAACATTGCCAGATGGGGTTGGCAGTAGGTTTTAGTTCTTTCATTTTTTCCTATCTGATCTTCTGTATCCATACTGGATTTTAGTTGTTGGCTTTCATATAGTGCTCCAGAATTTTGTTAGTTCGTTGCATCATCTAGTATTTTGTTAGTCTGGATTTAAAGTTTTTATAACTTTTTGAAAAATAATATGGAGGTCTTTGCTTTCTGTTTTCTTGCATTGGCTTTGATTATGACAGAAAAGTAGTTTACTCCCGAAGGAATGATATATATATATCTGACGGCTACTCTTTTGCATGGCAGTTATACTGTGTAAAAATCCCTTTGTTGTTTTATTGATGTAGATCAATTTGGGGTGGGGGCGGGGGTTAGAGAATAACACAGAAGCCATTTCTGTAATATTGTTAGCAAACCTTCTCCTTACAACCAAAGAAAGGAAAATATTTTACTCACCTACCAACGTTGAAAATTTTTTGCCACTCACCAACCAAACACTGGAAAATAAGTAAGAAAACCTCTTATTTTTTACCAAACACACCCTGAAAGTTTATTTAGTTGGCGTCTTAATGTTTCAGTCGTTGACTTCTACTATATGTTAATCAATGAAAAACTTTAGTCTCCTCTAGTGCTCACATCAAAGTAATGCATCGCTGCAGATCCAATGAAACATATCGTGAAGATTTTGGCGTTATTGCTTGCAGTAACTGCTGTTTGGATAGGCTTGTTGCAGACATCAACTATTCCGGAGAGCTATACCTGGCTGGTGAGCTCTTATTGACTGACCATCTTTCTGTTACCTTTGTCAATGACATTTTGTTAAAGTTTCTTACTTTTCAGTGATTCTTAGTTTATTGCTATCGTTGTTACAGTTGCCTCTATACCTCATTGTGTCCCTTGGTTGCTATGGTCTGTTAATGGTTGGCATTGGTCTAATGAATTTTCCCACATGTCCTCAAGAGGCACTTTTCTTACAGCAGGTACAGTTGCACTTTTCATTCAAGAAATACTGCATACCTATATTGCTTGGACTCTTCAAAAATGTTGACGGGTTGGTGCAAGATCCTCCAGAAGTGGAGGAGGTTGGTTAACATTTTTGGAGAATCCGAGCAACATAGTTGCCTACTATTCTGCTAGCTGACAAGGTTGTTGTTAGCCAAGATAGTGTCGGGAAAACAAGGGCTTCGGCTTCTTAGCATTTCATTGTGAATAAAAGGATCATATTATTGGAAAAAGGGTGATGAAAATCTAACTAAAAGCATATCTTATCATTGTTCATTTGCTGTTTCTTCTGTAGGATATTGTTGAAGCCAGGGAATTCTTGAAGAAAAAAGGGGTAGACGTTGGTTTTGATTGAATGTTGTTCAAGTCGTGATCACGGTTGTTTAACATATGGAGAAACACATACAGTGAAGATGAAAAACACAGTCAGTAGTATGCTTCAAGTAGGAACATAACTGTCCTAATCTTCTAATGCCCCATCTACGCCATTCGACAACTGACCCTACTCGAACATGTTTTTATTTTTATTTCTTATATAATACTCTAATATATTCTTTTCGAGTTCTGTTTTGAGATAGAACATGTACATCATGATCATGATGGAGGTACCTTTTGACCCATTAAAACTTCAAGCTAGTAGTTGAACTCAAGACCAAAGAGAACAAGAGCCATTGATTTTTCTTGACTCTGTTTTGGTTGTTTTACCAGTTTTTAATCCTCAATTTTTAGCACTTCTGTTTTGGTTAATCCAGTGTATTTTTTTTAATTTTATTTTTAAATACTTATTTGATTGAAATCCTTGAGTCGAGAGTCTATCGGAAACAGTCTCTCTACCACCTATGAGGTAGGGGTAAGATCCTCATGGGACTACACTGAGTATGTCATCATCGTGGGAGAGTTGCCAATATTTTAAGGAAGAGATGAGTATACATTTGGTTAAGCCCCTGTCGTTTCTTCTCATTAGGTGATATATTTCATTGTTCAACTTAGGGTTGTGCAAAGTAATGGTTAAATCAATAACACGAACCGATAATTGGGTTATTGGGTTAATTGTATGGGTATCAGATGTAGCTTTATGTTACTGGTTTCATTTGAACTCGGTACTTTTAACATGTAAATTACAACAAAGTACTTAGGCATTCCTCACTCAGGCCAGATTTGGGGGAAGGGTCATATGTTGATGTAGACAATACCCTTATGCAAGCATTAGATGTTAATTTCACAGCTTGAACTTGTCATCATATATGTTCGATCGAAGTTTTTAAAGTTTGAAGTATCAATCTTTTATCATTGTCTATGTTCTCAAAGGCAATCTCGTTCTCAAAGCTTGAATTCAAGACCTCTTATAGAATACAATTTCATTTCTAATGCTCGAATTCAAGACATGTAGTAAAGAATAAATGTGTATTTTACTACCACCCCACCCAACAATTGGCAAAAGATAATAATATGGTCTTTAGATTTCCAGCAGTCACAATACTTTGGATTTTTGTAGCCAACCATTTGACAAATGGTCCTCACAACATGACAAAAGAGGCCTAATAAAAACTTATAATAAGACATAATGAATAGCAACAAACATGTTTAAAGAACACACAAAAGTATAATAAATAATCTTTGTACTATTCATGCATTTATTAAAAAGTGACACAAAAAAAAGTACACAAAATCACCAACAAGTTGAATTTATAAATTAAAGGCCCAAACAACAAAATACATCAGCTAGAACATGGCTTGGGACCCCTATATAGGTATGACATATATACATACCCCCAACAATATATCCTTTTATATCCTCTATTCACATGTGAAAATAACAAAACCTCAAATGATCATCATCATGTGACTATATAGAGAAAAACATATGGCATTGGGTCTTTTTTTACATAAAGGATACATCATCATCCTTCAACTTTGATCTGCTCCGGCGGTGTTGTTTACCGTGATGGTGGTGGGATCCTCCGAATGTAACTGGGTCAAAGGCTCGGAGTCGTTCAGTTTCCTTAGGATCAATCACGCACTCCGGAGGAGGGACCTTGTACCGAGTCTTGTCGTAGCAGTATGAATATTGCATTTGCTTCTTTCTGAAGTTCTCCATCTTTCGTCTTTGGTCAAGGGTGATACCGGTAGGGATCGATGGAGTTTTTGGCGTAGTGTTTTCACATTTGGATGATAGTTCGATTGGATCGACTGCACATCCGTGGAGGACGAAATCGGAGAACTCAGCAATATACGGGGCGTATTTGTAATTGACTTTGTATTTTCCACCATTTGTAGCCCAATTAGAACCATCCCATATTGTAGCTATTAAAGACATTGGCTTAGATGGGAAGTCCCCACCCATGGCTTTTGTCCTCTTGATCTCTCTTATGGGAACATTATCTACATAAAAGCTGCAACAAGATGCAAAACAACACAAATACAAACAAAACAGAATCAGAGTGGCATTTTTGAAGAGTCCACCAAGTACATGACAGCTATGTTGCTCGGACTCTCCAAAAATGTTGCCACATCCGTGTCTGATCCTTCCGAATATACACTAATTTTGGAGGATCAGACGCACAATAGGCTGCATTTTTGAAGAGTCCGAACAAGCCCAATGCAATCCCATAAGTGGGGTTTGGCGAGAGTAATGTGTACGCAGACCTTACCCCCACTCCTTGTTGATGTTGGCATCGCATGAACCTGACCAGCCCAAAAGGGCACGGCCAAGTCCAAGACGAGCACAACCGTCATAATAGGGAATTTACCATGTTAAGCAAAACAATAAAAAGAAACAAACAAAAGATTCCCATAGTCCCATGCCAACAAAAGGGTATGTTAAGAAAGGCCTTGTCACTCATGTACATTCATTGACACAAAAAATCAATCAAAAATCTTGTGACAACATATCAGAACAAAATTTCTAGTCACACATTGTTCTATTAATTTGATTCTTAAGCTTAACTATGAAAAACAAATAATTCAACAAGTTTGGTAAGGATTGTTGTAATTATTATACAAAATTAGTTAAAAACAGAAACATGTGTATCACAAAACACAGACATCTAAATGAACCTTTACTCATAAAGGAAACCATTTTAACATCATATCAGACAAGAGATCACAGCTCAGAGGACCAAAGATTGTTCAGTATAATAGCTGGATGTGAAAACTCATGGTATGAGAAGCAAAAAAGTTGTTACAACCTAACTCTCTAAAAATGTTGTCGTACTCGTATCCCCTGTCAAATCCTCCAAAAATCCACTACATTTCAAGTCCGAGAAACATAGGTTACAAACAACACTAGTGGCAGAACCAGGATATTCACCAAGGGGATTCAAGCCAAGGGGGTTCAACATCTACGATATATGCATAAAAATGAATTCTAACCGTGTAAATATGCATAAAAATGAATTCTAACTGTGTATATATGGTGCCATTTTTCGACCTAGCTCTGCCCGTAGACCATACATGATAAAAATTAGGAAGAAAACATTAAAAGGGCAGAGATATTAACTACTAGTGTAACTTACATGATCAAATTCTCAGTCCACAGGATACTGTATTGATGAAAATCTTCAGAAGGATCAAACCAAAGTCCATATCTTTCTTCTCTGCCAACACTTGTGCTACCATTCCCATAAATATTAGTCTGAATTCTCCAATCTTTGCCTCTAATATTTCCCAAAAACTCAAAATCAATTTCATCATGGTTCTTCTCAAACATGTCCCCATTAGACATCTGTCATCAACCAAATTTAGTAAAAATTCAACAAAAAAATCAAGATTTTAGTTTTCATTATTAACACAACATGAAAATTACCAATTCCCATTAGATGGTTAAAAAATCATTCAAAGGGAGAAATTTACAAAATTAATTAACATATTTAAAAATCATCAAGAAAAGTTTGAAAAGATCAGAACTTTCACCTCTTGGAAGCAAAAGCTACTAATAATTTATTATTATAAACACAATTTCCATTAGATGATTAAAAACCCATTCTTTAAAGGAAAAAATGATTAAAAACTGAGGAAAAAAAGTGATAAATTTTTAAAAAAATCATCAAGAATCCATATGGGTATGAAACAAAAATCTAAAAAGATCAAAACTTTCACTCATGGGAAGCAAAAACTTCTACTACTTTACATAATGAAAAATACAACTGTTAGCTCATTTCATTAACATAACACAGACTGAAAATTTACTAATTAACATCATTGGGAGGTTAAACATCCAATCTTTACACAAGAAAATTTTACAAAAACAAATTAACATGTGAATAATCATCAAGAATCATATAGGTGTGAAAAAAAAAACTGAAAAAATCAAAACTTTCACTCATGACAAGCAAAAAACTTCTAATTTATACAAAAATAAATAAAATATCATTAGTGAGTTCATAATAACTTACATAAAATGCAACAACAACACCAGCTGTATAATCTGCAGGTAACTTAATAGAAGCACTAAAAAATCCATGAAAATAAAGGTCTTGAGACACAAATCCAGCCCCTGTAAAATAAATCATCCATTAAAAAACACAAAAAATAAATAAACTCTCCTTTATAATATATTTTTTTTCAAAAAAAAAAAAAGAACAAACCTGTTCTTTTATCAAGAGAAATATGAACTGATTTTCCATCTTTAAGGATCATAAGATTATTATCACCAAATAAATGAGAGTAGCCTTCATCAAAAGCTAAAATTGGCAAATTTCTTGAAAACCCAGAAACCAAAACAAGAATACAAGATAAAAATATGAAAAAAAACATATAATAGTTCACCATTTTTATTTTTTATTTTTTTTGGGTATTATCTTTTTTTACCCCTTTTATCAGTTATGGACACCCAAAGATTAGTTCTTTTTTGTTGTATTTTTCTATAGAGTTGTAATGCATGAGAAGTGGGGAAAAAAAATGAAGTCCCAGTCTCTACAGAGGAGAGGAAGAAGAAGAAGAAGAGAAAAAAAAGGACTAATTTTGATTGAGAAGAAAGACCAAATAATAAAAAGGGAAGAGAGGGTATATTATATGGGGTGGTGAGACTTTTTTAGGTATGAGGGTATTCACAACATTTTGACCCAAAAAATAAAAAAATTAGTAATAAAAAAGTTTGGGATTTTGAGTTTTTGGTTATAAAAAAAAACTATTAGGGAGTATTTTTCTTTTAAATAGAGTTGTAAGGAGTGTTTACGGCAAATCAATAGATGCATGACTTCATTTAATTATATGTTACTATTATTTGTCATAGAAAATTTTAATAGTTCAGTTGATTAATTACTATATATATATATATATAGTGATAGTTTGGAATCTTTAAAAAAAAAAAGAGGAGCCCCTTTTATAGTTTTATTAGATTCCTATGAAATATGTTTTTTTTTTCTGGCTGTGAAAAATGGATTAATTTTCTTTTGTTGATTCTCTTTGTATTTTTTAAAATTAAGTGGCAATAAGAAAAAGAGATTTATATTAATTATAAAAGAAAATAAACAGAGGCAAGAAGTTGGGGAAAAAGGAAAATTAATTCATCCTTGTTTGGTTTTTACAACTAAGATAAAGAACTAGTGCCAAGCAATTAATTATTCTGGAAGTTTCTTTTTTCTTTTGGATGTTGTATTTTCAAAAACCACTAGGGTAACAAATTTTAAAATAAAAAAGTGACTTTTTTTTCTTTATTTTATAATAGTTGGCAACTGTTTTTTTTTTTTTTTGAGAAAATAAGAAGGAAATTTGTAATAATAAGTATATAAAATAAAAACTGGTTTAAAAATGGACAACAAGAAAAGCATGAGAATATAGCACATAGAATTTTGGAAGATGTAAAATTATCACTAAAATGAAATGTATATTTTTTTTTCATCCTTCCTTGTTTTGATAAATTGTAAGGACAAATTCAAAATTTAAAAATTTTCAATTTCTGTAGTTATCTTAAATTAATACAAAATAACAAATATTATTTAATACATTTTTATATATAAGTTAAATAAATCTACTAAATTCACATGAACCCGTACATGATGCTTTATATTCGCCCTGCTAAATAAACCTCCCAAATAAAGAAAAATGAAAAAAAAGTTTGGTGAAATGAGGAGAAAAAGAAAAGGAAAAATAGGGAAAAGGTAAACTTGGATTCTACAAATTAAATTATTACTAGCCTAAAATGGAATACTTAAACATAGAAATAAATAATTATTTAATTAAAATCACATGTTTTTTGCTGACTCATTAGATGTTTGTACCTCTAATTAAAGTGATGTGAGGAGAATGTCTTTTGGCCTAATTTTAATAATGAGAAAAGAGTGGCATTTGACTAATCAAAGTTTTTCTTATTTGACTAATAAGTACTTAAATATAGTCATTATACCTAATTAAGTTCTTCATAGACTAAATTTTCTTGTGCCTAGTTCATTTTTAGTAGTTAACTCTCTTAATCACATCCATGTGAGGATAAATTAGTGGCTCTAATTAAGCATAGAAATTTGTAATTGGTTTAATTCTCATGTTCACTAACAATAACATATTTTGTACAGTCTCATAAGTGAAGTTTGAAAAGGGTATGATTTATGTTGATTTTATCCTTAACTTTATAAGGTAGAGATGTTTTTGAAATACTCACAATTCAAATTATAAGAATGAAAACATCAAAGTAGCAGAATACAAAACAAATATAACAACAAATAGTTATACAGATCTAGATGATGAGGCTAGACCCCTCCTCTCTCCCACTCATATTTGCTACAAATAGTTATTTAAAAAATTATGAAGAGAAAAAATATTCTATTTTATCCATAGTGTTAATAAAAAAGATTTGTATAAGTTATTCGTTTTGTTATAACTTCGTAAAAAAATATTATGTATGAATATGATAGAACATGTGACTCGATTGGTGAATAGTATTTAACTTCTTCCAAAAAGCATGTTTTTAGAAAAAGCTTCTTGCTTGATTGATTTTTCTTGTGCCTAATTCATATTTGATAATTATCACACTTAATCACATTTTAGGGATGATAAAGTAGTGTCTCCAATTAAACATAGAAATAATTTGGTTTGGCAACAAAAGTTGGCACCTAAGCTAATATAGATGAGGACATCCTTGTAGAATAAATTATTTAGAAAAATCATGAAAGAAACAAAAAAAAAAGATTTTTAAAACATAATTAGAAAAGGTAATTCCAATATCATGCTACTACTTGTTACTAAATTGAAACAGTAAAATTATAAGGACTATAGTCTATAACCACTTTTTGAACTTTTCTTATTGTAAAATTTTATTATTATTCCCAAAATCCCAACACATGATAATACCTTTGCAATTATGATTATTTTCTTTACACAAAACATGAATTATGGCATTAAGGGGCCACTTGATTCACACATGGAAAAGCTACAATTTTGCTAAGTTTATAAAATGACATTTATCGACTCTCTATTTTCAGGTCTTGAACGTGAAATGTCTCTAGTAGTTGTGCGTTAAATATGCTTGATCTAAATTACAACTATCGAAATAAGCATTTTGCTAGCTATTGGACCAAAAGTGCAATTATCCATATGAGTTTTTTCCTTGGATATTTGGTACGAATTTAAATTAGTTGAGACTTCAAAACAAGTACCGGATATTGAATGAGAAACTTAAAACATTAGGTTGATAAAATGATTCATCCACTTTTAATTAGAGGTCTCGAATTCAAACTCTAGTATAAAACAATCACAGTGTGTACGAAACATTTTCTATTTTAATAAAACTTACGTAACATGAATCTAAACTAATCAAGATTCCAAAATAAATTATACCAAGTGAATAAAAAAAAAGGTCACGAGATATCCTATTCCCTAGCATTAGAACATAAACGAAGAATTACTCTTTAACCACAATAGAAGTGTTAAAAGTCAAAAAGTAATTATTCCTAATTACTAGTAATTATTCCTAATTACTAGTAATTAGCATCCATTATAACAAATATAGAATAAAGATCACAATATTTCAATTTGTCATTCAATAATTGAACCCTTTTTTTCTTCCCTTTTTGACCATTTTTTACTCTGATAACATTTAAATTTTGTCCACTTTATCCCTCTAAGAAGCCTTTGACAAAAGTTCTAAAATTGCCACAAACGCAAAGGTATACCTTTTATACAAAAATAATAAAAATGCTCACTCAAAGATTAAGAAGTGGGGCCATCATATGATTAATTTTTTAAAAATATTTTTTTTATAATAATGTTGAATCATTGGCTTTAAAAATAATGATAGATAATGCTTTTTGGACTAGAAAGTGGTTTCCCTTTCTTTTCCTCAACTTATAATTTATTTATCACCATATGTGGTTAATTATTGGCCTTTAATTTAGCAATTCTTTAATTTTATTTTTTTTATTTTTCAATTTCCCATTTGATATTTATATTATGTCCCAATTAAATCCAAATTTATAACTCTTGTAGTTTTATCTTTTTCAGTTTTTATTTTAATTATCATATTATTTTGTTTCACTTAAAACATTTTCAGGTTGCTCTATCTTGTCATGTTTAATATTTTTGCATTTTTTTCTTCATTTATTTTTTAAATCTAATTCTACCATTATTTATGTGTTTTAATTTTTAGTATAATTGTTTTCCTATATAAAATTGGACAGTTTTGTCTGCAGTGTTCACCAGGTAACCGCCCCACGCGCCGACCTTTATCGGTTGACTGTTTACTTTCCAAAAGTACCCCTGATAGATTAATACAATCTCGATTTTACCTCAAATCGATAATCATATTAGAACTCGATTGGATTCAGGTTCATGTAAAGCGTCATTCGAGGAAAAACACTTCCTACTAAGAAATTCACAACTCGAATATGAGGCTTTTGATTAAGAAAAATAACAACTTCATCTACGACATCACATCATTTGATAGTGTGTGAAACTCAGTTTGATTCCACTATATATTGGTAACTCCTTCCTTTAGTACTCCCTTTGTTTCTATTTATATGTCGTTCTTATTAAATATAGATGTTCCTTAATATTTGTAATTTCACAAAATCAATGCATAAATGACACTATTTTTTTACCAACATAGAAAAATTAAATAATTTATCCATGTTCATTGGTCAAATTAATTAATTCATGTCCATTTATTAAAAACTTGACTTCAAAAGATCTCTAAATTAGAATACGATAATAAACTTACTTAATTTCTTAAGGGACATGAAATCTAAAATGGTAACATATAAATAAAAACAAAGGAGTAATTAGTGCCAAAAATAACATGAGGTTTTATACACTACAAAAAGAATAACCATTATTTTTGGTATAATTATATAAATTTTACAGCACTTATGACATTAGGTATTTTTTTTGTACCTAATAATTACATCCATTCTACTTATGCAAGTTCATGCACTTTAGACACTTGGTGATCAATAATAATAATGTAATTATATAATTGTTATTCATTTATTAGATGTGTCAAGTCTAAAATAAACGGAGAGAATATTTTTGAATTGTTATTTTTTTAAGTGGAGTGGTCTTACGCGTGGGGTGGCGCTAGTTTAGCAAGTAGAGCAATTAGCGCCGGCGAGGCTAATGACAAGTGCCATACCCCACTTTATCAATTTTGAGATTTGACATTACTTAATGCATCTCCATGTCACCACCACTAGCCGTTGCAAAGTGGGTCCCACACTTAAATAAAATATTCGAGATGAAGTAGTCAGTACTCGTTTATCATATAATTCAAGGTCTAAGATTAGAGCTTTGGACATGATAATGTCTTTTATAAGGGAGCACTTTATCCTCTAAAGTGAAACTTTTTTATATAAATCTGAATTAATCAGACTACGAATCGAATAACGAACACCGAGGAAGAGAAAAAAGAGTCTCTTGACTAGAGAGGAGCAAAAATCATGGGGCTTTTTTTTTAAGACCGAAGTTAACGGCTTCAATTTTGGGGTCAATTCTGTTAAAGGTGTGAAAGCTTTAATTAAGTTGGACTTTTAACTAATCATAGTAACGGCCGTTGA